GTGTTCCATGTAGAATATTGTTTGTGTTTATCTATTGCCTAGATATTTCTCATGCAAAATATCTAGATATAGAGTATTATATTATCTAAAGTACGATAATTACTCCAATTTATTTGGAAAGTTTCTCATGTAGAAGTTTCCTATTCCATAAGATACTAGTAAGGCAAATGTGTCACACCCCTAACATTTTTTCTACTATGATCATATTTCTTTCCTCTTAATAAAATATTGCTTTTTCTACTCTAGAAGTTGTTTCTAACCCGAAAATATATTTTACTACAAAGGGGTAAGTAAAAAAATGTTCTACCTGTAGAAAAAAAACCATTTGTTCCATAAAGGACAACTAGTGTCATGTAAGAGTGGCAACATTTCTAATTTATTAATTATGCAGTATTGTTATTTGTACAATACTTTTTTTGAATGCATAATTGTTTTTATGGTCAAACAATTTCTATTCCTATCCTGTCATGTCAAGCCTTCTTTTGATCTTGCCTCATAACGATGTATATCTTTTCAACTTGTATACCTTTGTTTTCGGTTGGAGCTTTTCTATGAACTTAACGCCACTATGTGCTTCTACTCTCTTTGTGCCTTGCGGATAATAAACACTCGCTTAGCTAGATTTGTTTAAGGTTGATAAAGTGTGACAATTCTAACACACGAAAGTATTTTCCAACCTAATCTTTAACCCTGTTACAACATAAAAATCCTCAGTAAATTATTGAATCAAAAGAGAGTGCTAGGAAGACTCAAATTTTTCACGAGATATTGAAGTGTCAATACTCTTTATTAGTTCTTGTTGGAGCATGATTTTTTTTAATGAGTTCATACCATTTTTTTATTGATGATAGCAGTGTTCCTAGTTCATGGGAACTATTGCTTCATGTTTAGCAGCACAAAAAATATTTAATATTCACTTGGGAAATTGTCACAAAGAGAAAATTGCACTTGTTGGTTTGTGAAATTGGTATATGTTCTTGTGAAAATGGCTTCTAGCTTCAATATAAAAATATTCAACCTTAATAAAATATATAAAGTTCCATTTACTTATTTACAATGTACTATATATTTATTAGCCACTGATGGTGTCCAATGAAGAGAATAGATATGAAATTTTTGTTATGTTATTTAAAACAAATGTTTTACTAGCCATTGATAGTGTCCAATGAAGAGAATAGACATGCTATTTTCTTTAAGTGGTTTTGGGGTATGCTTGATCTGGTGGATGAAGTACTGCAGGCGATTAACAATGCTACCATTCCGGCTGGGTGGAACGAGACCACTATTGTTATGATCCCAAAGGTGAACAATCCAGAAAAAGTGGCACAATTCAAGCCTATTTCACTGTGCAATACGGTGTATAAGGTTATTTCAAAAGTCTTATCAAATAGGCTCAAAGTTATCTTACCCGATATCATTAGTCACCACCAGAGTGCTTTTGTTCCCGGGAGGTTAATCACAGATAACATTCTCTTGGCTTATGAATGTATTCATACTATGAAGAAGAAGAAGAAGAAGGGGAAGAGGGGGCTGTGTGCTGTGAAGTTGGACATGCACAAAGCTTATGACAAAGTTGAATGGTCCTTTCTGGAGAGAATTATGAAGAAGATGGGGTTTGACCAGCGCTGGATCAATTTGATAATGGCATGTGTCACCTCGGTGAGTTACAAAGTTCGATTCAATTCTATTGAAACAGAAACTTTTTTACCCTGGATCAATTTGATAATGGCATGTGTCACCTCGGTGAGTTACAAAGTTCGATTCAATTCTATTGAAACAGAAACTTTTTTACCAACAAGGGGCTGCGTTAGGGTGACCCATTGTCACCATATCTGTTCTTATTAGTAGCTGAAGGGCTCTCATGTATGCTGAGGGGAGCCGAGGAGAGAGGGGAGTTGGAGGGCATCAAAGTATGCAGGAGCGCACCAGTTATTTCTCATATCCTATTTGCAGATGATTCCCTCATACTTATGCACGCAGATAAGAAAAACACAGATTGTCTCATTGATATTTTGAATAAATATTGTGCCAGCTCGGGACAAAAAATCAGTGAGGCGAAGTCTAGTATATTCTTTTCTAGCAACATAGATACTGATGTGAAGGCGGATGTATGTGAAACTTTGAATATCATGACTGAATCTCTAAGTGACAAGTATTTGGGGTTGCTAGCTTTGGTGGGAGCAGACTGAAGCGATTGCTTTCATCACTTAATTGACAGGGTTGCTAAGAGAATAAATGGCTGGAAGGAGAAAATTCTAAGCATGGGTGGTAAAGAGATCCTTATAAAATCTATTGCTCAAGCTGTGTCGGTATTTGCGATGATGATGTTTAAAATTCCTAAAAACATATGCAAAGGAATAACAAGCGCTATTTCGCAGTTCTGGTGTGGTGATGACAATGATCAGAAAAGGATTCATTGGCAACAATGGTGGAAGTTGTGCATGCCGAAAGAAAAAGGAGGGATGGGGTTTAGAGATCTACTGTCCTTCAACTCTGCTATGTTAGCAAAGCAAGTTTAGAGACTTCTTAGTGAACCTGAGTCCCTATGTGCGAGAGTTCTTAGGGCACGCTACTATCCTGATGGCAAACTTCTGAAAGTTAGGATGAAAAGCAGTTGCTCTTATACATGGCAAAGTATTCTGACGGGACTTGAGTGTTTCAAGCACGGATATATTTGGAGAGTTGGAGATGGCACACAAATTAATATATGGGAGGATAATTGGATTCCAGGAAGTCATAATCTGAAGATCTTAATGCCCAGAGGTAATAATATTATTACAACAGTTGATGAGCTTATCAATCCTATTGATTCAACATGGGACGTTGAGCTAGTAAAATCTATTTTCTGGAATGTGGATGTAAAACGGATTATGTAAATTCCAGTCACACCAGGGAGGGAAGATTTTGTTGCCTGGCACTACAACAGAAATGGCATCTTCTCGGTTAAATCCGCTTATCATGGTGAATGGAAAAGGAGGTTGGGGCAGCGAATGGTGGCCCTCCAAGGGGGCGGTGTGAGCAGCACCAAAGTTTGGAAACGCTTGTGGAAGCTGGACGTGTCGGGGAAGATCAAAATATTTGGTTGGCGAGCGCTTCTTGGGTTGATTCCATGCCGAGCTATTCTGGCCAACCGACACATCTCCAACATGTCTGGTTGTTCGGTCTATCAGAATGACGCGGAAGATATCAGGCATATAATTTTCACATGTGACCAAGCAAGAGCAATCTGGAGATCGCTAGGAATGTGGGAGAAAATAGAACAACTTCTGGGTACCGATCGCTCGGGATCCATCATTCTAGAAGAAAGCATTATAAGAGGAAAGCAAGCAATGTGTCGACAAAAGATGCTCGACAGTCCTCCGAGAGGTATCCCATAAAGATAGATTGATCGGTGGAGGTGCGCGTAATCAGGAACCAGATGATAACACAAGGCGTAGAGACAACGATTTAGATAGGTTCGGGCCATCTAATCGACGTAATAGCCTACGTCTTGTGTCTTTGGTGTATTGTATTGAATATGAGATGTATGTTGATATCCACTAGGGGACCCCAGCCTCTCCTTATATACTCTGGAGGGGTAGGGTTACAAGAAAAATATCACATTTGATACTATACAATATCTTGCGGTGCACGTCGACTAGTGCCGTGCACGCTTTGATCTTGTGGGCTGGACCACCTCTGATGGTGCGGCCCATGTCTTGTCTTGTGGATACCGGAGGTCATATCCTCCACACAATGGGAGTTGGATTTCCAGAGCTGATCTTAACAGTATCTCTGGTGGGAAAGAAGGCAGCGGGTGCATTGGGAAAGCACCCAACGACCATCATGGTCTGGCCTCTCTATTGTTACTCTCACAAAGAATTATAAATTGGCTGCAAAAAGGGTGTCACAATTAGAAAAGGTTGGCGAAAACCACCGGAAGATGTGGTGATGTTAAATGTTGATGCTTCTTTTGATGAGGATATGGGATGTGGAAGTATGGTGCCATCATCAGAGATAGCTCAAGAAGAATGGTGGTGGCGTCAAACAATTTTATTGCTCATGTGATTGACGCACCTATGGCCGAACGGTATGCTCTGAAGGAAGGGTTGATGTTAGCTCAAAATGTTGGCTGCAACCGAATAATCGTCCAATCTGATTGCATGGAAGTGGTCAACATTAGGGGTGACGGAGGATTCACAGATAATTCAGGAGCGGCCATATATGATGAATGTCAAGCTATTTGGTTAGGATTCCAGGGGATTTCCATAGAGCACTACTGAAGGGTAACAAACCAAGTGGCTTATGAACTGGCAAGGTGGGCTATGTTTTCGAAAAATTATTGTATTTGAGACGATGACTCCCCTAGCTTTATTGCTGATCTTCTATCAAACGATGTAACAATTCTTGATCAATAAAGCTTTACCGCTTGGTTTGTTCAAAAAAAAAAACAAGAATAAAAAATTAAAAGGGAGAGAAAGAAAAATAAATAAAAAACACAAATTTTCAAAGAAACTGAAAAAACGGCCCACAAGAAGCCCGTGCGTTTTTTTTTCCGCCGTCGATGCATAACCTGCTTCCCCGCTGCATCCCTCTTCCCTCCTCTCTCTCGCTACCCTCTCGCGCCCAGACGACTGTTGGGCCGCCGCCGCCCTAGGCCAGGTGCTGAGGCTTCCTTGGTCTCTTCGCCGGCGACGAGCACCCACCAGGTACTCCCACCCCTTCTCTTCCCTTCCCTTATGCTGTGCGAAGCTGAGCACTGAAACCCTAACCTAAAGCTATTTAACTATTTGACAATCCTCCTAACTTCGAAGTTTTTGCAAAAATTATTGGGTGTACATGTGTACACCCATGTCCCTTTACTGGATCCGCCCCTGTTGTGTATTGGATTGTACCGAATTGTTTGTTATATACTACCCTGGGCTAAAATCAATGGTGCGCCACTGATCAGCCGCCAATGTGTTTGACGAAATGCCTCTGAGACCGGTTGTGCTCGTTTCTGTCCCGCTGTGTCCAGGACGATGGTGGGGCTCTCAGAAGGGGAGAAGCACTTCATCCACGGTGGCATTGCGCAAGACATTCGCACTGATGGGCGTAGGCGACTGCAGTTCCGGGCCCTCTCCGTCCATACCGGAGTCATTCCACAGGCAGGTTTCAGAACTTGTTTGGTCGCATCTATGTGCCTTTTTCTCCTTTTTCTTTCTGGAAATGCCCTGCGGGTTTATGTTAGTTCAGATTGGTGGTTGTTAGTGTTACAGGCCAATGGCTCAGCGCATGTTAGATTGGGGGCCACTGAAATAATCGCTAGTGTCAAGGTAAGAGTTCGTGCTTGCATTTTGCTATCAAAAGGGCCAGGCCAATGTTTTTGCATGTTTAGTTCAATCCTCTGTACAGCATTTTATATACTGAACTTACCTTCAAAATTCCTACCAATCAACTCTTTTTCCCTATACATTGAGGTAGAGGTTATCAATTATTGATTCTAATTAAGCATCAGGCACCTATGCTGCAAAGCTAATGCTGTAATTGAATTTTATAGTGTAAAGTTATGAACCCTGAAATCATATTGCTAGTTTTGTTGACCATTCTGAATGACAATAAACATTACGATAGAGAGTCAACGTATCTGTTGATATTATTAGTACTTAAACTTGCCCAACAGTAATAAAATAAACTTGTTAGACATAGGTGTTGTACCTCTTCATCTGTGTCATTTTATTTGACTTCCTTTGTTTTCAACGAATTGGCAACTGCAGGCTGAACTGGGAAAACCAAGCATTCTTCATCCTGACAAAGGAAAAGTTTCAATTTTTGTTGACTGTAGTCCAACAGCTGAGCCTATGTTTGAGGTTGGTGATTTCCTCTGTCTGGATAAGATTGAAAATAACCACAGTCTGATACATTATTTGATTTCCCATATGCCCATTATTTAGCAATGTGGTTGTGGTGTTTATTTCTAAATCTTTTAGATCTTCTATGGGATATGCATTTAGGCTTTGCAAAAATTCTATGATTGAATGCTAATGATGTGGCATTGAATATGAAGAAACAACGAACTTGTTAACTATGAAAAATAAAGAAATCACTGGGGCACATTTGAAGAAGCTTGTCTCAAAATGTTTCTGATAGTAGTTTTTGATTTTTCGATGTTATGTTACTAGAGGCTTTTATTATTTACAGGTGCTTTAGCAGATAAATCCCTTTTCAGGGTGTGCTCATTTGATTACAGGTAGTAGAAAACCAGTACTAGCATTGTCTGGTAAAACAACGCTGCTAGAAAGGAATATATATTCCATTACCATTCTTGTAACCCCACATTTTGTACAACTTCTGGCACGTGTAGAAAGGGAAACACTATTTTTTTGTTCCTCTTAAGATTTCATTCTGTTTGAAAATTTTATAGTTTTACTTTTGATAATGCTTATCTTATTTGGATTTTTCTAGGGTAGAGGGTCTGAGGAATTGTCCGCTGAGCTCTCTGTTGCCCTGCAAAGATGCTTGCTAGGTGGTAAAAGTGGTGCAGGTAACATATAATTTTATTGCATCCCTAAAATCCTTGCATTTGACATAGCTTTGGACAAGTCTTAGTGTACACTGATCTCCTTTATTTTGATACTCCTTATATCTGCATCGTTTCAGTTAGAACTACTATTCGAACATGGGTGACAACATTATTTGTGTCATTACAATTGGTAGGCAATTAATTGGATGTGCCTTCATTAGGTTAAGCTTTTCCTAGCCAATGAATTATACCTAGTAATTTGGATTTACGGTACCAATACTAAGCACATTTATTTAGATACACCAACTAGAATGGCATTGCATTCATCACCATCGATTGTCATTGTCATGCCTATTTAGTTGCAGGTGTAGTACTTAATGTTACAAGTGTTATGGATGATGTTCTTTGGAACAAAAATAGACGCATGCCATTATTTCTACCAGTCATCCTACATTTGGTATAAAGGCGATTTAAGTGCACTGAAGTTGCTGAACTGTCATATCTGTGATTGTTCTTTAAACTTTCCAGGTTATTGGGAGATTTCATTTAGAGATTAGTGTGTTAACCAGTTGCAATTCTGCTTGATCGCGTTGTTTGTTATAGTCAAGAAATTTTTAATGAGAAATAGATTCTCATTTTGTTATCCATCTGTTTGCTTGTATATACAGTTTTATTTCAATTCAAACTCATGCCAGCAACATTTTGTTGGCATATAATTTACTACACTGCATCGAATTGGCAGCGCATCTGTTAGTGTCAGTTAACAACATCCTCATTTCAGGTGCTGCAATTGATCTGTCGTCCCTAATTGTTGTTGAGGGAAAGGTCTGCTGGGATTTGTACATTGATGGGCTTGTGGTCAGTTCTGATGGTAATTTGCTAGATGCGCTATCTGCTGCAATAAAGGTGACTTTTGATTTGTATTGCTTGTTAGTTGCAGGTTTAAATTTCATATTTTTCTTGCAACTCTTTGAATGGAGTCTAGTGTTTCCACTCCACAAATGTATTGGTGGAAAAAGTGTCATCTGTTCTTCATAGACAGTTATCATTGCATCAGATATGGAAAATATTAAAATGTTCAATAACAGGACTAATGCCATAGATTTCTTTACTCTCTGTTTCATTTGATAGAGGTGCTTATATGTTACACATCAATTATCTTAACATGATTTTATAAATGTTGCGCATCGCTTCAAATAATTTCGTCTGATGACTGACAAACTTAAAAGAGTGTCTCCAAGCAAATTAAGGAAAACTGATTTATACATGCCGTTGTTGAATTACCACTGAGGACCAAGTTTTGGTAAATTTCCATATGTAGATTTATTTCTTGAATAGAAATAAAAAAAGAAATAATCACCTACTAGTTAAATAATATTATCGACAGCCTTATTAACCAGTCAACCAGGTTGAATATCTGTAGTGTGAGGGACAAACTTTGCGCAAAGCATCACCTACTAGTTAAATAATATTATTGACAGCCTTATTAACCAGTGAACTGGGTATTGAATGTGTGCAGCTGTTTAAACTGATGTTTCCTTCAATGGGAATCTGCATGCACCATCTCGTTTTCTTCATTTATGTTTTGATTTTGGTATAAGCATATAACTCCAGCTTATGCTCCCAGCTGTTGAAAAGTCTTTCACCCTTGAGAACTGCAAACAAGGCATATTATAGTTTACTAATTCCCAATTTTGTTGCTTCTAAATTCTTAAATAGGTTCTCTGATCTGTTGACCCCTTCTGGCTATGAAAGTTAGGAATCCATGTCTGATTTTAGTTAAAGGTGAAAGTTACACTTATCTGGAGATGATGTGTGTAATCTGAACCTTTCCTTAGATTAAACTTCCTTTTCTCTATCTCCCTTTTTTTTATTTTACTTTCTTTTTATGAGAAGATTTGATTTTTTTTTCTATACTAGCTTAACAATATCCGGTTAGCTGTGTATAATGATTAAATTACTACTCCCAAAGTTCACTGATGCAATTCTTCTATAAATTCCACTTCTATGTTTAAGACTGTTGTTATGGTCGGGAATAGCTACAGGCACAGGAATTGGGGCTACTTAGGCAAGAAGGGGTCAAGGAGATCATGCAGGAAGAAGTCAGGCGCAGGAATAGGCAAGGGGATCATGCAGGCGCAGGAAAAGCAATCAGGAAGAAGTCAATTTGCAATTACAACCAATCAAATTCTTACCTCCCTTCTCTGTTATCTCATCTCCCTGCTGCCCTCCTTTGACACAATCACCACGGACAGGAAACCGGTGGCCGAACGGCCAGTGACCTCCCACACCTACCCCATCCGGTCACTACCCCAGGGTCGTGACAACTTGGTATCAGCCTCCAGAGATCCTGCCATGGGTTCCAGCAACACCGATCACCTCAAGCAGCTCGAGGAGACTCAAGAATGGCCTGGATGAGATAACAGAGAAGGGAGGTGAGAATTAGATTGGTTGTAATTGGCTGCTTTATTCCTTGATCATCACTGATTATAAAGAGTTTACAAGCATAATTCTCTCCTAGACTCTAGCTTGCTTAATTGACTTCTTCCTGATTGCTTATTCCTGCGCTGCATGATTCCCCGCGCAGGAATAGGCAAAGGGGATCATGCAGGCGCAGGAATAAACAATCAAGAAGAAGTCAATTAAGCAAGCTAGAGTCTAGGAGAGAATTATGCTCGTAAACTCTTTATAATCAGTGGTGATCAAGGAATAAAGTAGGCAATTACAACCAATCTAATTCTCACCTCCCTTCTCTGTTATCTCATTTCCCTGCTGCCCTCCTTCGACACAGCCACCACGGGCAGGAAACTGGCGGCTGAACGGCTGGCGACCTCCCACACCTAGCCCATCCGGTCACTACCCCAGTGTCGTGACAAGTGTGGTCAAGTGACATGACAACCCTTGGCATAAGCACAGATGATTCTATTTGAAATAAAGTTTTTTTTTTCTTTTCTGAATGTAAAACACAAATCACTGCAATTAATTAACTTGGCATAAATTGGAGTTACTAATTTGTAAAGCTTGGACGAATCAACATGATTCTGACACCTATTGATGAAATCTGAGTTGTTTCAGTGGCAGTTCATTTTTAAGCAGTTTTCGGTGTTCTTACATTACTGTCATATTTCCTTGTTATGCTTTGTTATAAACTGCATGATGCCAGTGCGTTAGTTGACAGTTTGACAAAATACAGTGCAAGCAGTACGTTCGTCGGGTGCTAACATTCTAAGTACATGCAGGTTGCTCTGAGTGATACTGGTATCCCAAAAGTTAATGTTTCTCTTAGTGCTGCATCAGACGAGGAACCTGAGGTTGATGTAAGCGATGAGGAATTTCTGCAGTTCGACACCTCCAGTGTGCCCGTTATAATTACATTAACCAAGGTAATGTGTTTCTTCCCTAACTCTTTTATCTTTGGTGTTGAGTAGACATATGCTTTATTGATTGTATGGTGATTGTGTTAAAATGTTTAAAAATGTCCCAACATGGCAGCAAAGTAACTCTTGAGTACCTTCAGAGGTTTGAGCTGCTGACTATAATATAAACTACTATTGAGTAGCTTCAGTTCTATTGTGATATCATATTAGGCTTGGATAGCTCATACGAATCTGTACCAGTTGAATACTCCTGCATCACGTGAAAAATATGACACTACACAGCACATTGAGCCCCACCAACAAATTGTCACTGCCCAGCAAGCAATTGAGCACCCCCAGTAACAATTGTCTTATGTTTTGTTTCTCATGCAGTACCTGTTTTAACATACAAATCAGTTACCTTTGTTGCTTATGGCAGGTGGGTCGGCACTACATTGTTGACGCCACCTCGGAGGAGGAATCCCAGATGAGTTCTGCAGTGTCAGTGTCAGTCAACAGGCACGGCCAAATATGCGGGCTTACCAAGAGGGGAGGTGCAGGGCTGGACCCAAGCGTCATCTTGGATATGATATCCGTTGCCAAGCATGTGAGCCAGCAGTTCATCTCCCTCTTGGATTCAGAGATCGCTGCCGCCGAAGCTGAAGCGGAAGAGTGAAGAAAAAAAAAGAAGAAAGCGGGCAGGAGGCGGCACCGTCTAATTGCTAAGTACTATTCATGTAGGAGTACTCTCTTTGGATCCAAGTATGAGTTCATTTGAGGTTGTTGACGTCGTCCACTAAAATGATGGGAGCGAACACGGGCACTGCAGAAGCCGACGATTTGTCCGGCCAGTTACTTTCCCCAGTCTGCTGGTCTACTGGTGTTTCTTCTCATCAAACGAACATGCACAGTCGGGGGTTACTGCGCTACTAATCTCTGGTGAATTCTCCGAGCGTTGCCGCGGGATTTAGTCTAAAACTGATGTAAGAATTGATGGCGTAGAGGTTTTGAGGATGGAATGTGCACATTTGGAACAGACACATGTTGCACGTCAGTCCAATTGGTGGAAGAAACATCGAATCAAAAGCCGCTAAGAGCATCCCAACAGTTTTTCAATCCCACCCCTCGTTCTCGTAAAACTGTCACACTGACGGAGATGGCTCACTTTTTCTTCTCCATTAGTCCCTTGATAGCCATTTCTCTCTTTTTTTTTTGCTGAAAACACCTCTTCTCCCTTCAAATGAGGGGGAAGTTCAATCTCCCCAATAAGTGAGGCCTGTCGTAACTGTCTTTTTCTTCCTCTGCTCACCACTGACGGAACATGGGTGAACGGGACGGAGAGGCGCCATTGTAAGGTCCAAAAATATATATATACACATATAGAATATAACTTAATAAAGTAAATAAAACAGTAAAGTATATTTTTTTCTGTTTAGAAATTTTAATCTTTTATAGGGAGAGAAAGTGAGCGTGTAGCCACAGTGGAACCTTAGGGTGAAGGGATTGGATAGCCACGGTTGAGCCTTAAGGGTGAAAGGCATTGGATAGTATCGGCTGGAATAGATAGGAAAGCACTGTGAAAAAGACTAAAATGATATGCTGAAGACAGAAACTTCTACCTCCTATATTGCTATTGCTGTAGATAGTTACTTGGTAGATATTCCCATGTCCGGCACCTTACGCAACACCATCTATGGTGCCTTGCTGCTCAGTGCTTGCAGAAGCCTAGTCTAGCCACTTAGGTTTCCTATTAAAGTTCTTTCTTTTGTTATCCTTCACAAAATGAGCGGATTCACCCTGTGAGAACTTTATCCTCTCCTCTTCTTGAGCACACATTGAGATAAGTCTTCCTATGTCCCATCTTTCAGGCTGCATATTGTAATTCACAATGAAGGTGTCATATTCTTTTGGCAAAGAAGCAAAAATCAAATGAATCAGAAAATCCTCCTCCTTCAAATTCATTTCCTTTAGCTTAGATGCCGTAGTGTTCATCTTCAAAATATGCTCTCTTATGCTACCACCAGTGAATTTCTCATTCACAAGCTTCTTAATCAGTGAACTTGCTATGGCCTTGGTAGACCCAGTAAATTGACTCTTGATTTTCTCAAGATATTCTTTGGCAGTAGCACATTCAGGGATTGAGCCCCTTATCTGTTCTTCTATGGTGGCCTTGGCCACCCACAGGCACTTGCGGTTGGAGAGAGTCCATTGCCTATGTTCAAGGTCATATTTCATTCTTATTTTAGCATGATCACGCTTTCGAGCAGCGAAATCAGCGTCAGATTCATTTTCACCTCTCACTGGGTCCTCTGGCTCAGTAGGACACGGTGAGGTGATGGCAAAATCGACCTCTCCCAACGCAAGTTCCAATTCATACTTCTCCCGCCACACACGGTGATTGGTCCCATTAAGTGTCGGGATGTTGGCAATGTTCACAATGCATTTACCTCCTGAAACCACACCAGAGTAAGAAACATTTATATATAAAATTTCATGCTTTAACTCAACGTTGGTCAAATTAAAACTATGATTCATCCATGCAAACATTTTACATCACCGTTGGGCAGAAGTAAAATTAATGTATAATTTCTCATGGATCAAAATTATAATATTGTTATTAACAACGTTGGTCAGAAAATAACAACATCATAATCTCATCAAAATTATCAGAAATTCATCACTTCTCTTAAGATTAAATTATCCCGTTGGTTCAAATTTAATCAAAGAGAACAATAATTATCATGCACAGCGGAAACATTAATAATCTTTTCATATTATTATTTTTCCAGAAGCACTAAGTACTTTACTGTTTTCTGGCAAAATATCGTTGGATAAAATGTGCACAGAAAAAATTGTATCAAAATCATTCAAATTCATCAAAAAATATGCATTAAAATTGCTCCTGGAAAATAATAACAAATTTTTTTCTTTTCATTTCAGCCCAGCGCGGCCTAGCTCGCCCAGCAGCGCGCGCTGCAGCGGCCCAAGACGGCCCAACGTCTGCGCGCTCCCCCCACGCCCAGGCCGCAACCTAGGCCTGGGCCGAAAATTCGGCCTTGCGCGCTCTCCCGCCTGGGCCGCGACGCTGGCCCGCGCATCTGGCGCCGTTCATCCCCATCGGACGGTTGTCTGTTTCCATCGCGGGATCAAAACGCGTCGGCCACCGAAAAATCGAAACCCTAACTCATTTTCTTTCCTCCCCTTCGCCTCTCCCAGCCGATTCCAGAGTGAGGGAGCAGCAGCGGTGGAGTCCACGGTGGCCGGAGGAAATCGGCGCCGCCGCGGGCCCCTTCGCCGGCGGGCGTGCTCGCCCGTGGCTAAGCACGTCGCCGTCGAGTGGCCTCGCGGTGGTGCCCTGCACCCACGCGCCACGACGGTGGCCTCGGCTTCATCCCGCACGCCGGTGCGGGTACGGGGAAGTACCGCACGGCGGCGGTCTCTTCCTCTCGGCGAGGGCCGACGGCTCGTTCTTTGTCCCGCGCGGTGGCGATGCCGCCGGTGGGATGAGGGCCCAGGTAGGACCCCATTCTTGATTCATGTTAGGGTTATGGTTAGGTTGACCGATTTGAAATCGGTTTGATTTGATTTCTTTCTTTCGCCCGATTCAAAAACGAATGTCTCTGTTCTTCTTTCTATTTCCTTTTTCCCGATCCGCATCAGATCGATCAGTTTCATTTCATTTCTTACCCCGATCTGGTTTCTTCTCTAACCTAGCTCCGGTACCATTGTTAGATTTCTTAGGACTCAATCGAGTCAAGTTCACCAGATCGGGTACACAGAATAGGAATACATGTTCAAGATTTACAGTATATACACAAAACCTAATGCATGAACTACAGAGATATAAAAGGAAGAAAAGGGGTAGGTGGAGTAAGAAGTCGCAGACCATCGAAGGCCGTAGTGGTCGAAGCAGTCGGAGTGGTGGAAGCGCCGGCCGCGGCCTCGTTCGCGGATGCCATCTGCGCGCCGGCAGCGACGTTCTGTGGAGAGAGGAGTCGGTGCAGTGGCGTCCTTGGCGGCGACGTGTGCGTCGGGGTGGCGTTGCCGGCGTCGGTGGTGCTTCCCGTCGCTGGCAGCGCCCCTTCTCAAGATCGGGTTAGGGTTAGGATGTCGGTGGGGAGTCTGGCGGCGCGGTGAACCTCGTACTGCGAGCCCCGGCCCCCACCTTTCCTTTATAGCGCTGTGCGACAGGGGCCCACCAACCATGTAGGGTTGGGCGCCCCCGATCAGGGCGCGAGAACAAGGCCCAAAGGCCGTTGGGCCTAATGGCGTGGGAGATCAATCCAACATTCTCCCCCTTATCTCTCATCACTTTCTTCGTTCTTTAATGCTTACTCAAACTTTCGATTCATATTTTTCTTGCTTCCATCCTATTTCATCACAGATTAGTGCATAGAACTGTCCAATCGTCACAGGAATTAATGCCGTTAGACTAACAGCCACAATACACTTCTCCGTTTTCAAATGTAAACTTTCTTTGGGCCCTTCGTATGTTCGGGAATCATAGGCTTTCTCTTAAACCCATGCCGGCTACGTGTTCTCTGAACACGTTGGGTGGTAAGCCCTTTGTGAGTGGATCCGTGAGCATTTTCTCTGTACTTATATGCTCAAGATTTATTATATGATCCCGAACTTTATCTTTCACAACATAGTACTTTATGTCAATGTGTTTGACAGCACCACTTGACCTATTGTTGTGAGCATACTGTACCGCTGGGTTGTTATCACAATACAACCTCAGTGGTTCATTTATATTATCAATCACTTTCAATCCGGGTATGAATTTCTTCAGCCAATTCACCTGCCCCATTGCCTCATAGCATGCTACAAACTTGGCATACATTGTTAAGGATGTAGTTACGGTTTGTTTGGAGCTTTTCCACGATATAGCCCCTCCTACGAGAGTAAATACATATCCTGACGTGGATTTTCTTTCTTCTCCCGCATAATCAGAATCTGAATACCCCTCTATCTACAGGGAATCAGATCTTCTATACGTAAGCATGAGGCCTTTCGTACCCTGCAAATAACGCAGGACTTTCTTCACTAATTTCCAATGTTCAATTCCTGGATTCTTTTAATATCTGCCAAGTAACCCAGTAACAAAAGCTAAGTCAGGGCGTGTACACACTTGAGCATATTGTAAACTTCCAACAGCTGAAGCATACGGTACCGCTTTCATTCGGTCAATTTCATATTGGTTCTTGGGACACTGATGTTCCCCAAATCTATCGCCCTTGACTATAGGAGCAGGTGAAGGACTGCACGCATGCATACTAAATTTCTTCAGGACCTTTTCTATGTATGCCTTTTGCGATAATCCTAGAACCCCCTTTCTTCTATCTCGGTGAATCTCTATTCCCAAAACGAACGAGGCATCACTGAGATCTTTCATATCAAAGTTTGAGGACAAGAATTTCTTCGTTTCTATTAGTAGATTGATATCACTACTAGCAAGCAAGATATCATCCACATACAAAATTAGGAATATGTACTTTCCATTCTTGAACTTTGCATAAACACAATTGTCCTCAACATTTTCTTTAAACCCAAAACCTTTTATCGTTCTATCAAACTTCAAATACCACTGTCTTGAAGCTTGCTTCAATCCGTAGATTGATTTCTTCAGGCGGCATCCCATATTTTCCTTTCCTTTTACGACAAAACCTTTCAGTT